GAGGGTAAACTGCCCGTTTGATAAGAGAGGTGAGAGGTAAACATTGACCTGGGTCCTATCGTTCCTTGTCCAGGTCCATCTTTCACTGGAGAAACTATGCAAACAACAGGGATGCTCTGATAACTCTCTTTCAGTCAGAGCAGTAAACTTTAAGTACGGTCCGATAACGAACAGCAGAGCCCGGCGCCACAGTTTCTACCTGCATTCAAGGTAAAAAAGAATGCGAGGTGAAATCCCGAGGAGTAAAAAAAAAAAAGCCCATATAATCCAGTTTCTTAGTGAAGTTCACTGACTCTCTACTGTTAGTTACGAATACAGTAAAGAAAATGCAAAAATAATACAGGTTTTGCGATTAATATGAAGAATAAATTACAAAAGAAATTGGTTTTAATGAGAAATGTATTAGTACACAATCTATACACAAACGCTTAATTCAATGTATTAAGGGTTTAAAACATATTTCATTACTTTGACTAAGGAAAAAAAATTAAGTTTTAAAATTTTTGGAACATTCACTTTTACACATAATTTTTTTTAATTTTTGGAACATTCACTTTTACACATTTTCCAGCGGAACTTTAATCTTCACAAACAAACACCATCACTTGCACAAGAATGAACAGAAACAATGATTGTTTAATCATGGTGTTTGCAACCTATGGTTGTTGTCACACATATATGACCGAACCATATGTCTTTATTGCACTTCGACAACGGAGACTGTGCGCTCTACATGGGACACAACTGCTGCTCTAAACACAAAGCCAGGATATTGAATTTAGTTGGAGACTCTCACTGTTAATAAAATCCTTACAGTGCACTTCCTGTCCACCTTCAGTCGTAAACACGTCGTTATCCGGCTGCCATGTGCCACCATGATGTTTTACTGGGACTGTACACGATGCTGGCCATGGCTGGTTTAATGACGCGTGAAATGCACTGATACGATGAAGAGCAGGGGAGGGGTCAGATCTCCAAAAATACTTCTATTTAAGTAGTAAAGTTGATTATCTTATAGTGAAGCCAGGCGTAAATGAACCGAGCTCATTCCTGTTATTTGCTCATTTTAAATGTAGACAGCTGTGGGGCTTCTTTCCATTCTTTCGCTCTGTCCCTTTCTCTGTTCCATTCCAACCCTTCTGCTCTTTTACACCAACCCTTGAGGTAAGAGCTTGTTGACTCTCAGTCTGCTAGGCTTCTTTTCCGCAAAAAATGTTGAATTTTTAAACTATACCAATAGGGTTTCCAGAAAAGTCAGTAATGACAAAGTGACAAAGTAATAAGAACGACTTTCTACTACCGTGTGGCACCTCAAGAGGGCATAAAAGATTCACTTATTTCTCTATTCATCATCGTCATATTTACTATTCAAACACACATAAGCCGGTTGAAGAATGGCTACCTAACACTAGCTACATGGTTTATTTCATTGTTTGTGTGTGCATGTTTTAGTCTCTCCAACTGTCCGTCACTCCATAACTGCTGGGATCAGCTCCAGTTCCGCCACATTGCATATAAAAGAAATTGCGCTGAAGGAAGATGTCGCACAATATATAAAGAGGTGGACTTCATTTTTTCTTTTATATTATTTAAAACTTGGATATTTTACACTTTCAAAACACGCCATTAAAAGGTACAGACAACAATCTTGTCCCTGATGTCCGTAGAAAGCTCTTTGGTCTTGCCCATGGTGGAGATGTTGGATGCAGGTTGTTTGGGTGTGGACAGGTGGTTTTTTTATACAGGTAACGATGTGAGGCAGGTGTATTTAATGTAGATAATTAATTGGGACTGGAGATGTGTCTTAAAGAAAGACAAACTGGCTTGTAGGAGCCAGAATACTTGCTGTTTGGTAGGGGTCAAATACTTGCTTTTCCTCATCAGATGGTTATATTTTTTTATAAATTCATATGATGTGAATTTCTGGAATTTTCTTTGGGATTCTGTCTCTCACTGTTAGAATACACATATGATCAAAATTATAGATCGTTACATTCTTTGTAAGTGGGCAAACCTGCAAAATCAGTAAGGGGCCAAATACTTCTTTTCCCCACTGTAAACTGAGTTTAAACTCGAGTCAGTATCATGATTGGTTTTGTGTATGGAGTCACGACAGCGGCATCAGTTTTCAGTGTTTGCTGCCACATGCTGGTCAGTTATTATAATGCAGGTTCCTGAGATATTCTTGTGGTCTTGGATGTGTTTATAATGGCATTATAGAAACACTAGTTAAAAGATATGCTGACAAATCTTCTACAGTTTGGACAGCCGTTGAAACGGAATAGCTGATAAAAGATTTGGGCATTTGAATAAAACAAGTGCATGCAGCAAGTATTTGGTGATAAAACTGAACAACTGCAACAATCCTGAACTGAAAATGCTTTCCTGACTAATTGTTTATAGTTCTACAGTCATGTAGCACTGTGTGCAGACCAAAAGCTAATGGACCTTGTAGCTACTTTGAGTTATGCAGCATATAATTCAGCACAATTAAGATACATTTCAGATATTATATGAAATCATTGATGATTAATGGTTTTTACAGAGAACGCTAACCTGATAATGTATTCTAATATATTTAAATACAATAGCTTTTAGAAAGCAATGTTGCAGCATCAAAAATTCAGTAATTATCACGTTATCTTTCATCTATTGTGGGTGTTATATTTCTTCTTTCTCACTTGTTCTGTTTATAGGAACGGACAGACATTTTACAAAGAGGCTGAGGGAATTCATCCATTGACCTCTCCAGGAAGTTAAAAATGTCTCCACAGAGCAAATACTCAAAACATGAATCCACATCGTGACAAACAGAAGTGATTTAATGATCACTTGTGAGAATTAAGGTGTGACAAGGGTGAGGCAAAAATCATTTGACTTCTCATTTCTGTCATGGGCACCGAGCATAAAATAAAATAAACTGACTTATAGTATTTGGTAAACATTAAAAAAAAAAAACATTTAGTTTGTGTTTTACACACCACAGTACCCATCTGAAACATTTCACTTTCAAAGAAATGTTGAAAACCAACTGCACACGATGAACTCTGAAACGTCTCCTCATTTTATTTACTTAAAATGCTTTCCAAACAGGGTGTTGCGGAGAAACTATTCAGGATGCAGATGTATCCTGAATAGTTTCTCCGGAAACATGTAGATGAGTGTGTGACTTGGAGAGCACCCACACCTACGTGATCTGCTGCAGGTGTATGCAAACTGTTTGGGTTCAATGGAACTTCACTGTATTTGATGACATATTTTCGTTAAACAACCAGGTGAACTCTTAGAATAATGTTAATCTGAGCTAGCCTTGACGACGGTGCAACAGACTGCGTAACAAACATAACTGCAAAAGGAAAGCAACATTAGATGTTTTTCCAAGGAATAATATTGAAAAACACTTTCCATGGAGCAATGAATTTAAAAAACAAAAAAAGTTCCAGCTAATTCACAGACGGAGCAAGATGTTAATTGCGAAAAGAACATTTTGACCTTCAATTGTGAAATGTGTATGTTAATATGCAGTGATGAAATATAATAAACAATACAGCTAAAACAGGAATTATATAATGACACAAGCAAAAACTGCGGCCAACACGGGCTCGTCGGGCGTCCGGAATTTTCTATATGAACAGGCAAAACTGCGTCGGAGATACCTGCAGTACATATCCAGCTCAGTGTTTAAATGTTTAAACAGCTTGCCACCAGTGCCAACATGTCTGCGGTGTTGGATGTATTTCAATACATATGAGAAAGATGCACAGATAGAGAGTTGCAAACGTGTAATGCTGAAATTTCAAGAGGCAGTGAAAAGTGCACTCATGCCAGCACAGGTTTCACAGAGATCTAATAGTACCAATTGGCACTACATTTCTTTCAGTTTTTGGCCCAGATTTTCTCATTTTTTGTTTTTTTGTTTTTTCAGTTAAGGCCAAGAATGAGATCATAGTCAATAGTAATAAAAAAAAAAAAAACAGGGAAAAGTGGCAGAAAATGTTTAGAAAAGCCACTGATGTGGATTCTGGAAAACCAGTTGACTTCCTGGATCCACAGGAACCTCACTCCACAGCATTTGATTAACCATGCACACCTGCTAACAACCATGCAAACTGGGTGACCAACACTCAGTTCCACTGGTTTTGTCAGGTGGGGACAAAGGAAGTACATTTATCCAAAGGTTGCTTGCACAATTCAAAAAACACTTAAATGTCTTGACTTGTTGGTGGGAACAAACAGGAACACAGAAGAGCAAAGCACTGAGCATAGGCACAAAGTATGGACACAGCATCAGCATAAACAACAACAACAATACAGCATGAACAACATACACTGAACAACACACAAATGAAGCAGGACTGGGTGAGGGAGGTTTATATACCCAGGGAACCAGGTGACAGGAGTGAGGCCGATTACACAGAAACACAGGTGAGTGTGATCACACTGATGAGCTCAAAGGAACTGGGACCAACAGACTTTACACGAACGTCAGTACCTCTGAGGACACAGAACGTCAGAAGAGTCTGACTTACACTTTGGAGCCATAATTAGGAGAAACAAGTTCCCCAAAGTGTCAGCTTCATTTAGTGAATTTAGTAAAACTTCACATAATACCTCACTAAGACGTCTAACTCATTGCCCACTGAAAATGTACATTATAGTGTCAGGCTTTTGGTTTTTACATATAGCCTGGATCTCTCCCAGTTCTAAGGCCCCCTGTAGCCTGGCCCAGACCCATTTGCCCCCATTCACTCCCGCCCTCCCATGGAGTGTAAGGCAATTTGGAATCTAACCTACAACCCTCTGCTGCTAGCCATAGTAACCCATTGCTCCTCCACCATAAATTGTTTATTTATAGTTTCTATAAGAAATAGTTGATGATAAATGACACCAAAGATCAGGGCGGTCTCTGTGATAATAATTACACATATATGTTATACTGCCATATGTTTGATAGCTGGTGTTCAGAGCCACAGACTCTTAGGACAAAAAAAATGATGCAAAACATTTTATAGTTCTTTTATTTTCCAGATGCACGACCATGCAACAGTGGGTATGAATCAGATGGGGCATTTCTTCTGCTCTTGCCCTTTCCCCTCCCCCTCTCCATCCCCACCCTCACACTCACCCTCACACTCAAGGTATTTCATAAAGTCTACAAAGAATTCATTGCAAAAGCAGGTCAACGTGGCAGTCAGGTTCATGAACTCTTTGAAGTCCACCTCACCGTCCTTGTCCAGATCCAGATCATTCATGATTTGTTCCACGGTCTTGGAACATTCGCTTTTCTACAAGAAAGACATTTGAACAGTTTTATGCTAAGACTGGAAACCATTTTCAGCTTGAACATGATAGTAGAAATGGTCTGTACTGACGTATTATGATCGTTTCTAGCCTTGATGACCATTCAACAGTCCAAAACACCACTCTCATCTACCCACAGACAGGACTAAAAACCTATAGTTGTACGACAATCCCACGGCCTACGGAGCTACTGCTAGCCCATATATAGTCACCTTGCACAAGCTGACAGGTAGCCTGTGCTAGTCAAACATAGGTGAAGAGTATTTACAGCCATCTTTGAGTCTAAAATAGAATTCATTAAAATACTGAATGAATATGAGGGTGATTTAAGGTGAGGTAGCAGGGTTAACGTCAGAGAGGAATGTTGCTGAGAAAATATTCTGATTATAATGGACGATATTACACACACCGTGTGGCAGATGTCAAGAGCATAAAAGAAAAGAACAATGTTGGACCAAGAGGTGAAGGAGAAATGACACGAGCCCTGAAGGTACTTACTTCCATGTATTCTGGTAGTTGTTCCCTAAACAGGGTGGCCAGCTCTGCTTTGTTTAGCTTGTACTTATCGCCTTCCCTTGCAGAATAGCTGTTGAACACAGCAACGATGGTCGATATTGCGTCTTGCAATGGAGATGCCATCTTCTCTTAAGTCCTACGTATGTGAGACAGAAAACTTCTGGGTCAGTTTCAGGCTGTTGGAGGGAACATGAGGAAACTAAAGGGTTTGTTCAAACAGGAGGGTGAGGCCAGCAAAAGGGACAGTGAGCAAGTCAAAAGTAAAAGAACAAACAAAACAATGACAGTTACTATATCTGTTTATGTAATTGTTGCTGCTTCAAGTGATAAGCTTTTACAAACCAATGTTTGATGTTAGTAGACATCAACTCTTACCTGAAAAGGCGGGTTGCTGAGAGGAGCAGGAGCAGGAGCAGGAGGTGGAGGTGGAAGTGGAAGTGGGAATGAAGAGCCTTCAGCTCTGCTCTGGAGCTTTTGTTTCTTCAGGCGGCCAATGAGAACAGTCTGTAGCAGATATTTTAATTCTCGCGCCAAGCGATGGGTGAAGCCACAGAACTGGTCTAGGTGTGTCATATGCAAACTGATACATTTGTTCTGAAAATTACAGTATATCCACTGTATCTCTATAGGGCTGCCCCATATATAAATATGGGTCAGCCCTATCTACCAGTAGGTCACAGAGGGAGTAGTGGTAGATCATGAGCAGTTAAAATAAAAATTGTATATATTATTAAATCTCTAGAAATGGAGTAGCAACAATACGATTACTGAATCATATTGTGCCATACCACTAGAGATATTTAGTCAACATATAGTGTACTGCATATATAAAGTATATTCAGCTCATATGGCTAAATATATATTAAGTATTATCAATTTAGGTAGATGACTTTGGTCTGGTCCATTGAAAAGAAGCTCCAAAACCGATAACAGGGGATCAACCGATCAACTGTCTACATTATTTCACTCCTGTTCATTTAGTGCTGTGCTAAATGAACACAAGCTTTTGAGTCGTACACAATAACAGGCTGTCAGTTTCATATGTGTAAAGCACATGACAGAACCTCACCCATGTTTGAGTGACAGTCTTGGTGAAGCTGCCCAGTGAGGTACAACAGGAACAACACAATCTCCAACCAAAACCCTGACAAAGTCAATGTAGTATTATATGTTCTATAACCTACGACAAGTTCAGTGACAAACTGCAGACCCTATGTTGAGACACGGGCCTACACTGGTCAATATATGGTCCATGTTGTGGCAGACCAGCCTGCTCTTTGATGTATGACTGTGTCATGTACACCACCTTATCAGGTCAACTTCTACTTTGCATGTTTTCTTTTGTTCATTCTCGTAGTGATATTGCAGCTTACCACAACATTTAATTTCATTTGCATTTTTTTTTCTTTTTTTTTTTTGGCATTTTGGTCTTCACACTGTGTCTTTGCCAACACACAGAGACTCGTTTGACATTTCTAAATGAAACTGGAAACATAAGCTCTTTGGTGAAAAGAGCGACACGCGTTGGTACTGTGCACATCCTGGCTCTAAACAAATATAAGACAAGACAGACCTGCTCAGCTGGAAAGGTTAAAAAAATGCCACTGGGGTGAAGTCACACGTGTTTGTGCACGACTTTACTGTACGTTACACCTACTATAGATGGTCACGTCAGGAGACAGTTGTAGGCTTGTCAATGGGTGTGTTTCCTCTCAAGGATATCAAATAAATGTGCATGACATGAACTAACTCTTCAACAGCTTCTCTTCACTCCAGGCACAAGTTTGAGTTGCTTTAGAAACTACATTTTCCCGCAGGTTTTCATCTTCTGTGTCTGAAGGGAGAGAGATATGAAACCCCACTTTATCTCAGATTGCACCAATGAAGTGTCAGTTTAGGTTGCATAGTCTTTTAGACCTACAGTATCCAAGGTGGCTAATTGTTATTACAAAATTAAAATAAGTTCCAATATTATATAAATAAATAATCATAAAAAGAAAAAAAGAAAAGCCTACGTATGTCATTGGGCCTTTCTCATGGAGCGGGGGCGCGGCCTATCACAACAGGCATTATAGAGCAAGGTAGGGCCAGCTGTCATCTCAGGTCGGTGACTCATCTACAAACTATGTGCCCTCAGCTGACTCCAAGGACAGATCTTTCTACCTGCATTTTTATTTGTTAAACTGTCAGGTTTTTTATTGTGAAGAACATCTTTTTTATTTAAAAAATTCTGCATGAATAAACTTTATCAACTCACCTTGAGCCAAATGCACTCTACTGCACTGAGGTTTCAGATTTGTACAATCTTTCAGGTTTAGTCACTGACAATATTTGGCTAATTTAGTTAATGTGCACGGCATTGAACTGTTGTTTAATTTAGTCATTTTAAATTCATCTCATTTTTATAGACTATTTCCACGTGTACACGTTAAAAAAAGTCTGAAATTACGACAGTAAATACAATATTCCGTGCGACCGCTGGGTGGTGCCCAAGGTTTTATTCGGCCTAAAAACAAAGCGCGCCCCCCCCCCCCCTCCCGACGGCCTTTGTGTTCAAAACACACATTTCTTTTGTTGTTTCAAAGATTAAAAAACATCTGATCATGTATCTGATTATCAACCAGCATTGAACAAACACTATGAAACTTGATCACATTTTTATTAGTAATCATTGAATATACATTTTTCAAGTGTTACATTTTTTTATTATTATTAATAATTTGAAACATTTCAGTTGGAGTTTCTTCCATCACCTCTACTTTCTGCCCTTACAGTTTTCCTTGATAAGATCAACAAAGAACTCGTTGCAGGCGACTGTGAGAGCAGCCACCAGAACAACAAACTCTTGAAAGTCCACCTCGCCATCCTCGTTCTCATCCAGGTCCTTCATGATCTTCTCCACCACTGCAGGGTCTTTGCTGGCCTAGAAGTGAAGGGATAATGAAGAAAAAAAAAAAAAAAAAAAAAAAACTTAAATCAAACTGAAAATGAAATATCATCAACATTAGGGTCAGACACTTGACTTATTTAAAGTTATTTAATTCAAACTTCAATCTGCTCTGCTGTAGGAAATGTTTAGGTTATTTCCTCAGAACAAAAATCACCTCAAATCAGCCAAAACTTTACTCCCTACCCCACCTCATTCATCTTTCCTGCAGGAACATTTATCATGAAAAAAAATCTTGAAATGCTAGCATTTATTTACTTATTTATCAATTACTTTTTTAACCCTTTAAAATTAAAACTAGAAAATTAACTATTTTGTTGTTTTGCTTTTCTTAAAGGAAACATTAAACTAATTAAACACTTAACTAATTGTTTTTTTTATTTAGCCTTGTTCAGCCTCAGTTAGTGAAGGCCACCCAGGCTTCTGCAGTGCTAAGAAATTAATATAAATAAAACAATTTCAAGAACTGTTTATCATCGTGAGATTCCACAAAGATATCAATTGTGTTGCGTAGTGACATCGAGGGTTCGTACAAAAAGGCAGTGGCCTGAGACGAACAAATAACCAAGGTAAAGCTCATATCAACGTGTCTAATCTGTCTAATGTGACAGTTACTCACTGCCAGGAAATCTGAGAGCTCCTCCTGCAGCAGAGTCCTCAGCTCTGCATTGCTCAGCTTGTACTTGTCACCTTCTTTGACTGAATAGGAATAGAAGACTTTGATGAGACTCTCCATGGCGTCATTCAGTTGGGATGACATCGTCTCCTCAGTTTCCGCCGTCAGACCAGACAAATCAAGAGCTTAGACGTGCTGAGGTGACATGACAAAAGGAAAACGGTAGAAGTCAGTGAGAAGAGGAGCTGTGTCAGAGTGTGACAGCAGAGGAACAGCTCACTGCTTAACATTAATCAACAGTAGTGCAGCACAAATGCCCGAGTGAGAGAACATCAAATTATTTCTGCCTCAGGCTGCCAGGAGACATGGAGGTGCAGAGGAGGAGAGGAGGCTGCAGTTCAGATCAAGTCTCCTCATGACTGAATGGAAAACTTAAACAGCAATAAGCCATGAAATAAGACAAGACGCTGAGCAGGACTGCAGTTCCTGGAGCTGTAAACTGTTAGCTGCACTAAGTTGCTATTGAAATAATTCTGTCATCTGACAAATGGATGAGATCCATCAGCAGAATTGATCTCTGCTGTGAAGTTTCACTGGTTAAAAAAATAAAATAAATAAATAAAAACTCTCAGACTCCTTTGGTCTAAAAGCATTTGGTTACAATAAGAAAAAAGTGCAGAGTCCAGGTCACAAAGACTGAAGAGGAAGCACTTCATCACTGAACAGACTGGGCTTTTAGGATATATACAAATACAATAAGAGGACTAGATGAAAGGCATATGTTGGTGAAAGCAGCTTCTCTGAGATAAGCATACAGGCTGGAGAAGACGGGTTCGTATGAGGACGAATGATGGACAGACGTCTGGCATTCAGCCGCAGACATCTGAGAAGCTGCCACAGGTCAGTGAACTGTCGCTGCACAAAGGGCTGCAGATCTCCCGCAGAGAGGTTTTTAATGAGAAGTTCGTTCTGATCGACGCCCTGTCACAGTCAGACCACTCAGACGTTTTACTGTTCTACGACCACGATAGAGATTCAGTTCATACTGAGACGGCAAATACTCAAATGCACTTCTTTTTGTCTATTATTTGCAATGTAATCAATCTGCGTGATGATAAGAACAGTTTATCATATCTGTTAATTAAGGAGATTAAAAATGATTATATTGTGATGTTAAATCAAAATACACTGAAAATGTCAACCACGACATATTCCTCCATTTGATCGTCATTGTCATTTCATATTTCATGAACTCTTTTTAAACTGTGGTCTGTGACCAAACAGTGTGGAGGAGCAGGATTATACTGTTAAACGCTATTTCTTACAGTTCTTTCTCAGGATGTTCCTGATTTAGCCGGGGGCTTTCACTGTGCCACTTTACATTTTTCGCAGAATCAGCTTTTACTGTAAACAGCAGCCGTTTCTCCGTTAACTCCACATGCTGAAAATATAGATAAAGAAAGAGAGAGAGAGAGAGAGAGAAAACACCCGGCACTATCTTGTATATAGTGTATAGTGTCCACTACATACACTGGTCTAAGGAAACGTCCACATGATCCAGGACCAGCATGTTATCAACGTTTACAGCTGGACTCATTAGCAGGGATTTTCTGTTATTGTTGAGAGCAGAGGACATTGAGATCCTCTTCCCTCTCCTGCAGACAGAGGGAGCTATAGGAAACAAATGTCAATAACCTCAGTATTTTAATTTAGTATTTTAAAAGATGAAAATGAAATTAATTCTTATTAAGACATTCATTTATTTTAACATTTAAGGTAAGCAACTACAACTGGGATAAACCCAGTTGGTAATCAACGACAGCCAGGAAACACTGGGGAGCATTTACATTGACACTTAGCAAAGCTGTGACTGCTTGGAAAATCACGGAATATAATCTGAGTGATAACGAAGTAAAAATGGAACCAATATTGAAGCCCAGACTGTAGTATTTTTCACCTTGGTGACCAAGTAAATAAATGGAAGATATTGTGTTTGTTTTACCTACAACACGTTATTAGTTTCTTCTGAGAGAAATATCAGATGCACAGACAAGACATACTGTAAGTTATATGACATGTGATCCTGGTACGGGCCTGCAGAGGCTGCAGCCTGTGTTATGTTACATGGCATTTAAAAAAAAAAAACACAGTGAGAGTGTCCCATTTCATTGCCTCATTATTTAAGCATGTATGTCAATATTATTCTGGACTGAGTTCATCACTGATGCAGTTGGGATTAGTGAGGAGTTCTATTTGATTAGTCTTTGTTAATTGCACTTGATGAACGAAATCGAAAGTCCTCTAAATGTCAGGCTGAAATCTTCACTGCAGCACAGACCAAACAATGCACAGAATGACGTGCACAACCAACAAGCACAGGTGCACACACACACACACACACACATTTAGACTAATGAAAGAAACAAAACATTCAGCAGCTTAACAAAGCCAGTCGGTCAAACACACTTACCTGGACAGAGACACTGGCAGGAGCTGCTGGAAGTGGCTGCTGCTGCTGCTCTAAATCATCTCATCAGTTATATTGGCTCCTCTCACCTGGGTGCAAATTAACCAGAATCAGATAAGCGCCTCCTTCTGGGAGACACCGGCACCTGCTGCTGCTGCTGCAGAGGTTCTTGCTGTTGCAGTTTCCTTGTATGGGGGAAAAAAGCCTGACTGTACACAGAGCACAGCTGACAGCTTCCTAAACAGGAAACACAAGCCAAACTGTACACCTATGAACTTCCTGCAGCGCTATCAGTGCATTCGTTTTCATAGAAACACAGTGAACAGTGGTGTCAGTTAGACATGATCAGCTCGTAAAAATTCTAAATGACACAGAGTCAAACGACTGATCGTAAACCCATTTAAAGTCACAGATGATGGGACACGGTCACGAGATTCAATCAATACCTGCACATACTGCATCTGCATGTAATGTTGAATTCTTGAATGTAACATTTTAGTACATTATTGATGATATCCTGACACATTTGTAAAGACAAGGAACATAATGTCTTTCTTTATTCCCAAAAAAAACCAAACAAACAAACAAAAAAAAAAAAACAGCCTGAACACTGGGAGATCCGGCACATTCTTTGAGGCAGACAAGAAGATGAAAAATAGATCCTTTTTTATTTGATTGAAATAAAAATAAAAAATAAAAAAACACCAATAGTTCAAAAATAATGAATGTCCAGCATTTTCAAAGTCAAAAAGGCACATTCTGTGTATTTAGGTATTTCCTTATAACAAGTGCATAAACACATTTATTTTAATTAACTTATGGTATACAACACATTTACACAGCGTTTATACATTCATACGCACATTGACTTCACACTTTCTCTCATGCTTCAAAAATATTTTTGGAAATTGTGGGGTTCTTCTCATACAATTTACTGTCTATAAAATAAGACATATTAACCAAAAACAACAAAGGCAGTGGCACCACCTACAGGCCACTTGCCCTGTGGCTTCTTTTTTGGTCTCTGTCACAACTCTTTTATGGTACATTGGCAACAACATTTTTTTGTTGGTATGTTATAATAATATTATCAAACCAGGTTTTCACTTGAGTTGTAACATTAATCACTTGAAGGTTTAAAAACCGTCAGATTTATGTCCTTGCAACATTTTTTCTTAATCATTTCCCTTACTATTGCTAATTATCTCCATGATAGGGTTCAGTGCTAACTTACAAATCCATATTTTATGGGAGACATTATGGCACTCGCCTCTTCTTCTGCCCCCTGCTGGCAACCACAAACACATATTTCTGCCAACTGTCGTCTTACGTCTTACGACAAAGACCTCTCAGGACTAAGACTATCACTTAGATTGTCAGAGTCAGTTGAATTAGACTGGCACTAATTAAACATAAGTGAATACATGGCTGTGCACGTAGTCTTTTAATAAAGAGCCGGTCCAATTCAAAGTCCAGCACCGTCCACTGAGGGCTGCTTCAACATTAAAAGTTAATTAGTGCACGTTCAAAGCACTGCAGCAAACAAGTTTGGGTGACTCACAACACAAATCCCTCACTTCTGTCTGAACCTCTTTGCTGTGCAGTGTTCTATCACTGAGCTCTGCCTATACTCATGAGCCAGCACGAGCCGCTGAATCCAATAATCTGCCAACATTCACTATTTATCTCTGCTTTAATGTGCCCACGTGGGTCAGCAGTTGCACCGGTCTCTCCCCCTTAACACTGCGCTGAGCGGAGTATTGGCATCATATGGCCTGCCTGGCCTTTGACTTGGCAGGGAGACATTGGAGCAGGAACGAATTACGATGATCTCATTCTTCCAAGAGTCAGGAGTGTAACAGACAAAGGTGCTTTTTTAACAATGTGGGAGCTGTCACCACATCTTCCCGGGCACCTAGCTTGTTATCCAGAGTGCAACAGGGGGAGAATTAATTTGAGCCGACGGGTTTGTGGCCTTTCAACGCCTGTCAGAGGGGCACCGGGCCCTGGACGCTGAGAGAGAGAGTGGAGCAAAGGGCATCGGCTCGGCACTCCAGAGGTAACATGACAGAATGCCATGGGCAAGTAGTGATCATGTTATGGCCTGTCGTCTTAATGAGACATTGGCTTTTGCTCACAGCTTGACATTCAGCACTCACACAGGGGTTACTTGAGCTCAGCTCTTAACCTAGACAATACTGTAGAGCCATGATAACATCTCTATTTCCATAGTTAAAACACCACCACTGGTATCTGCCTCTCATTTGACAACTCATTACTGCCTTTCACAAAAGTGATGTTCTTTTCTTGATTTGTGTTATTTTGGGCTGTTTTTGGAGTTTCACCCTCTTCGGGACACACAATCACAGAAACACCCCCCACCGATGAGGTTCTGCTCTTCACGCTGTGCCCTCTTTCTTGGTTCATGGTGGGCTTGCCTAGAACGGTCCTGAGCTGCTCCCAGAAGAACGCCTGCTGGTTGACCTGCTGGGGCCACTCCAGGTACGTCTTGGTGCTCAGCATCTTCTTCAGCTTGCAGTACTTGCTGGGAAGAGAGCTGGGGTCAATGGGCTCCTTCACCACCAGGATGACGTCACTGAAAGTCTTTCCCATGGCTCTCTGCTGGGCGAAGTACAGCTCGTAGTTACACCACTCACTGTTGACAAAGTGCCGCGAGAGGATGAAAATAACCTGAGGAGGAGAAACAGGAGGACGGATTTAAACTTGACGCCTCACAGTCAACCTCATGTTTTAATCATCACAGTTATTTTAATTGAACTCATTTATTAACTCAAATTAAATTCAATAAACTAGAAATGCAATTAAAACATAGCCACCCAGATATTTAACTATTCAAAACACTGAAAGCTTTTTCTCTCAGTCATCACAGAATGGAAGTGAGCAGAATAATAATTTAAAGTTTGTTGTTAATGATGCGCCCAAATGTCATCCACTCATTAACCTCATACTCAGTTTTACAACAATTAATGATGGAGAGTAAAGTAAACTGCAAAGTAAACAGCATGACTATTGGTAATTTGATCATGAATCCCTATAACGCAATGCCTGCTGAAATGATATGTGCCCTAAAAATAGTTTGGGGATTAAAAGCTGTGTATTAAAGTGAAAGTCACTAGATGGCAGCATTGCAGCTCATTTAATTAATGTCTTTTAATAATCAGCGCATTGTATGGAGAATGCCAGAAACTCAAAAGAGTGATTTGTACAGATAAATAAATAAATATTACCAGGTCTATATCGGTATCGGTTGATATCGGAATCTATATATATATCGGTGTTTGGACAATATCGGCAGATCAGATATCAGCCAACGTTAATATCAGACGTCCTAAATTTTTACAAATATTTTTGATGCTAAGATAATTAACAACATTTTGTCCTGTATCAGTTAGTAATAGCTTTAATCCCATGTGGAATGATTGGTTTTTGCCCCACTGATCGAATTTACTCCACTACATTTACTGCTCTGGTACCTTTCTACTGCTCTCAATGTTCTCAATGATGTTGTCAATGATCCACTTTCCAGGCATGAAATCCCTCTCATGAATGCACAAACGGTAAGGGTTCCTGTTGTTCTCCAAACAGGGCAGTAGCTGTTCCCTGACCCACTCGGCATCACAGTGGCTGTATGATATAAAGGCGTGGTAGGTGAACGACGACATCTCTCCTGCTGCCTTCTCCTTATGAGCTCTGTATTTGGCCCTGATGATCTGGTAGGTAGCCTTGGTGTACCACGGTAGGTCAAAGATGTAGCAGATCAGCACCAAGATTAAAATGACGGCTGTTGTGGTGGCCACCGAGATGATGATAACCAGTCTGATGTCACAGGACACTTCGCTGGGCAGGTATTTGGAGATGACCGTGTTGAGGAAGGCTTCTGGGTGATAGCACCTGTAGTTCCAGGGCCAGTCTGTCAAATTGACCATCCCTTTTAAAACCGTGTTCTGGACAAAAGCATGAAGCTCACACGTGCAGTGGTAAGGATTGTTCCCAGCTGTCAGTCGGGACAGTCGGGGCATTCCATAGAAGGACTCTGTGCTGATGAGGCCGAAGGAATTCCCATCCAAAGCTAGTGACTGCAGCGAGGGACTTTTCCAGTCCGATGGGATGAACTTGATTTTATTCCCAGTCAGCAGGAGCTCCTTCAGTGTGGCTGCCTTCTCAAAGTACCTCATGTTCAGCTGGTCCAGGTCACAGTAGGACAAATCCAGGTACTGCACTGTGGTGGGCAGGCAATTCAGGGCTTCACTGTCAAAGGAATTGTGGTGAGCGATAAAACGAGTGAAGTTCGGTTGCCAAACACAACCTTGGCTCATTTTCACAGATCCTAGTTTGTTGTTGCTCACATCCAACACCGTCAGGCGTTTGAATTCTCGTGTCAAATCTGAGAGATCTTTGAGACTCGTCAGTTCGTTGGTGCTGAGGTTAAAGGTGTGAAGATTGGGCATGTAGCCCCTGTAGTCACACCGCTGGTTGGAGAGATAGTTATCTTGTAGTCGATTGTTGGAGATGTCCAGCAGTTGAATACCTTCCATCTCCGCCCAGGAATCGCAGGGCACAAAGTTAAAATACACGTACTGGATGGACAGTTCTTTGATTTTGTTGAACCAGGTGAAACGCCAGTCAAACCGTAACACATCAGGATTGCTGATATACCTGCAATATGAAAACAAAGATATTTCTATTGTCAAAATGTAAAAATAAAAGGATTTCATAAAGAAAATAAAGTAAACAAAAATCACTTCAATTTTCGGCTTGTTGGGACATTCAGATAGATGCAGAAAACACCTGAGCACAAATTGCTCCCCCAGTGAATATAAATAGAGCAAAAATGCATGGAAACATGTTCAACATGGCAACAGCTATAATCAGGTAAAACAGTAAAATCTGTTAACATTGATTTTTTTTTTGTCTTCTTAGAAACAGTGTAAACCTTGAAAAGATGGACCATGTGTCAAATTCTTATAATTAAAAAAAATAATAATAATAAAAAAAAGTGAAAACACAGTGCCAAAATTCTTCCTAAATGTGCCCATAAATACTACAGTAATGCCATAACAGGAAAAATGATTAATAGTTGTATTGCCACCTTGGGGTCAAGTGTATTACTACAGTCACCTTGTCCATATTGCTGCTGTCCTGTTAGGTTCATGGCAGTGACAGACCGTCATATGTTTGGTTTATGACTGTTTCTTGAAAAATATTGTTTTACTATTCAATTTTACTATTAAAGACAGACATATTTTATGGTGTTGTTGCTTTGCCTTTTTGTACGTGTGACCAGGATTTTACTGTGCTGATAAAGTAACAGCAGTAGATGACACACCTCTGCTGTCTGATGAATTTATTACTGTCAGAGAGCAGATTCCAGGGAAGGGTTATTAAAGTGTAGAGAGAAAAGGAATTCATTTGAACTGCTTCACATCATGAACTGGAAAACTGAATATATTTCCCTTGAACTTTTAATACCTCCAGATAAGAAGTACTCACCAAAGATCCAATCTGTCAAGTTTCAGGTCAGTGATGCTTGAACCTGCTCCGCTATCAACAAAAGTGGGTGAACGAGCAAAATCGATGTACTGCAGTCTCAGTCTTTTGATTGGAGCCACTTGTAAGTTAGTCAAAGCCATTCTGAGGAGGTTCTCGTTGTATTTGCCTCTGTGAAAGATTAACTGATACGCTGTTATGTATTTTAAACCCTGAAATATGTCTTCGTCCCCAGTGTAGTACATGAACTCGAAGAGATTCCTGAACTGGAGGGCAGTGAAACTCTTGTTGTACAAATCATGCAGCATGTGCACAAGAGCACGGGGCCTCTGATCAACGGCCATATCAAATCCCATCTGCCTCGTCTGAATGACTTCTAAACTGCCGGGCTCGTAGTAGCTCAGGTTTGAAGAGCATTTAATCGCAAACCCTTGTAACCTGATGTTCTTCAGGGGCTGGAAATCCGATTTCTTCAGACCCTCCACCAGGGGGCCACCCATGGAAAGAACCTGGAGTTTGGCTAATTTGGAGAAGCCTTCATCCAGAGTGGCATATCGGTAAAGGTTGTTGGACATGTAGAGCTGTTGAAGATGAGAGAGAGGCGTCACGGCTCGGGCAGGGATTTCCTCCAGTGAGTTGTTGAAGACGTTCAGATGTTCCAGGAGTGGGTTGTTTTTAAATGAGTCATCATGAATATATGAGATGTTATTGAACTGCAGCTGAAGGACCCGGAGCTTGGGGAGGTGGTGGAAGTCGTCGGCGAGGACAGTCTGGAGTTTGTTATAGGAAAGATCAATGTCTTCAAGTGTGGTTGGAAACGTTTCCCAGGGAATGGTGGAGAGCTGTCTGCCCAAACAGTCTGCAGAGCGGGCGGAATTGAAGATACGACAGGGTCCTTCCATGGAGTTAGTGGTGGAAGGTGAGGTGGATGGGGGTGTTGGAGAGGAGAGTGCTCCAACCAGCAGGAGACCAAAGAAAAATACCCTGCAAATCATTTTGACAAACCTGTAAGAAACACAACAGTAAATATAGTAAATAGTAAATAATATTTCTTTGACATTAGCAACAAATATAACAGGTCATTAGTAACTATTACTTAAATAGATACAGAGATCCCTCCTATTCAATCGCGGTAGTTGCGTTCCAAGACCCCCAGCAAAATGGGAAATCCGCAAAGTAGAGGCAAGATATTATATTATTTACATATATATTTAGCCTTTACGAACCTCCCCCACATAGTTATCAAATCTCCCTCGACAAATAAGATAAGAAAGATATCTGAGCCACCAGGAGATAATTAAATGGTAAATAGTTTGTGCTCAGAGCTGTCACAGTTTCTCAATTTAGTCCTTTGTCAGAAATCAATCAGCTGAGCTTTGACTGTTAGACTTTAAACCTTTTTCTTTATGCACAGCCACCCAAAAAAGATAAGAGAATTTTTTTTTTTAATTTCTTACTCCTTAATAAAAACTGTCACCATGTCGCTTGGCAAAAATAAAAAGTTTGTTTCTTCTTTTGGCTCAACAGCCGACATTAAGACTGGCTCTGTAGCCAAAGAGAAGGGAATAAAAATAGAACTAGATTTAATAAGAATGTCACAAGGGGTTACATCCAGTGGTCATGACCGGAAGATACAAAATACTTCTGCCAAGTGAAATATTGAAACATCCGCATCACGAAGAAAACACTGTAACATCAATGTAGAAAAACAAAACGTTTTGTAAATTCTTCACCAGATCTAAAGAAATGTGATGATTGGACAAAGAGGAAACTGCATATCTCAGCATTCTGTCTGCATGCTGCCTGTGTTGCTTGTGATGGAGCTCAAACCCACACCTTTTGTGTATTTTTTTTATAGCATTTCACGCTGTACTGAATGAAAAGACTGAATGTGGCTCACAAACACTGGTAAAGAACACATGCACAGCACCAGAGTAGTTACAGCCAGTGTATAACACACACAAACACACACACACGCATGCTGCAGTCATTGTGTACACCCACACAGTGAGTCTGCAGGGAGAAGGATACTACACTGGTATGTGCCGTATACTATAACACAGTTTCATTGGTCCACTGCTGTGCTACAGTGTGCACTTACCCCTGTTCAGACCAGAGCTCTGGATGCCAGTGTCTGAGCTGACTCTTTAAAAGCCTCCTCTCATTCAACCTTTATTTATACAGTCCAAGGCTAAACACACACTCATGGAGAAACATCCAGGATTTATGACTGTCCGTCCGATCAAACACCGGTTGTTTTCTCTTGTCCAGAGGAGACGTGACTTGAATAAACATTAATGTCTGGGCAGATCACACAACCAGGTAGTGAAATGTCCCTGTTCCTCATAATGAGCAGGGTGATAGTATGTCAGAGAGATGACATCACGCGAATGGGTCACTTCACCTGAAGCAGAAGTCGCAAAAGACAAACATGAAAAAATAATAATATTTGATTTTTTTTTTGTATTGAATCAGAATTTCACAATGTTTAATGACTGAGATTAAGATAACACAGTCACCGGGATTAGCAATGGAGGGAATCTAACCCCCAACTATGTGTTTGACAAATGCTGTTCTGATCTGAACTGATCTGTAGAATAAAAATATGAACCAATTCACCATTGATTTAAGTTTATTATCATAGCCCGTGTTGTTCACTTAAAAAAATGTGTTATTAACTAAAAGTAATGCAGCTAGCAAAAAGTATTGTGTACAAAAATGTTTTCAAAGTAGCTCAAATGAAACCCATTAACAAATGTTTTTGCAAAAGAAGTTAAATATAAACATATAATTGCTTGTAGTTAGCCAGGCAGCTAGTAGGAGCTAAGTCTATAAAGTTTTTTTTAAATATATTGGCAGCGGTAAACAAAGCTGCAGTGATTAAGGGAGTTCCCTAAGGTAAGTCCCGGGGGATTAAAAAAGTTCGATCCATCTAAGAGTTCTCTATCCTTGGCAGACGTAAAAAAAAAAATTCCAAAATCAAACCTATTTAGTTGCAGCAGTTGGACAGGGCTGGATATTCTTAGATTGAAACATTTCACAGTTTAACCAGTGCAGAACACAATAATTCACACTATTTTTTTACGGCTTTCTCTCTATCCCGGGAAGGCAGTATTTGTTCAATAAATTACTGAGGGATGTTTCTGTGATTACTCCTGCGCCTCTTCCTTCCAGCTCATATAAGCAAATGAAAACAGAGCTGCAGCTGTGTTGCTGCTTCACGGAGGAAATCAAAAGCATCTAGTTCATATAATGTGGTCAACAGCGGACATCTGTTCCAGTAAACGGCCATTAGATTAGCATCAATAATATTGACTCAGTGCTTTAACTCCTCCGAGTTGTAAAGCGGTGCACGAGGTGAGGAGCAGCAATTAAACCTTCTCATATTTACACAGCTCCACTCGTGGAATATTGCAGAGTTGCAAAGCTGAAGGGCTGACGTCACGGAAGAAAATCAAATCATGGCTTGATTGGTGCGCTTGAAACGGTTTGAAACGGGATAATACATGCTGCAGTACCAACTATTTCTACAGTCTCTTCCTTGAACTGAAGTCTTCGCAAGTTGCAAGATTCACTGTCTATTGTGCAACTCCACCTAAAAATAGACAAACAGACTGACAGGCTGAAACTAAATAGTCCTGTGAGAGAAAACTAGGTGAACAGTGACCTGAAACTCCTCTCTGGTTTGACATTAACTTCCCTGGCAGGGTTTATATTTCTGCAGTGAATCATTCACACTTTGATCAGCTGTGGACAGTTGTGGTGTGCATTAGGGATGTCCAATAATATCGGCCGACCAGTATAGATAAATAAATAAATATTACCAGGCTAACACTGATATCGGTTGGACAATATTGGCATATTGGATATCAGCAAAGAGTTAATTTGGGACATCCCTTGTGTCCATCCTTATCTTTGGAATGTGCACAAACATTCCTGCGATGCTGAACCCTGTTCTCCGCTGCTGCGCTTTTAATTTCCTAAACCTCGAGTGCGACGTTGTATTCACTGTGTGTATATTGACATCCGTGGGCTACTATATGAAAGTCACATTCTTTACAGCCTCCACACAACGCTGTCCTCACGTGCTTCACTGCAGGGTTCATAAAATATAATGGATAAACAGCAGGAGGAAACCCCCCTCCTCCCGAGCCCCTGTAGCAGCACGAGGCTGTGCTGTGGTTATCATTGTTTTGAACAGTGTTGTTCATGTTTGGAACCGAGAGGTGTTGCAACAAAACAAGTGAAACATGATAGTGAGTCAGAGATGACGCTGTATTCAATAATCAAAATCCGTGCGGACGGTGTTAAAACTTGAACATTGAACATTTCAATTTGAGTCACAAATATTTTTGTTTTCCCTATCATTGATTTGTTTGTCTTTGTAAAACTGACCATAGACAAACAACCACCTGTAGATGAAGATGCTGTGTTGTTTGTTAAAGAAAACTGTAATATAAGAACCAAAATACATTTTGTTGTTGTACATGATTTTAAAATAAGACCTCAGATCAGATCACCATTGGTTTCAAATGTAGATTATTGCAACGAAAAATTCCTGTTGGAATGCACCCCAGTCCTGCCCCTTTAGTCCACTGTTGTAATATTTATTTATTTATTGTGATGTTTTCTACTACTACTACACAAGGCATCACTGGTTGTGTCTTGCCTTTTCTTTACACATAATACCTTAAATATTGGTTGTTATTGTGAGACGGCACACACTCACACACTAACACACACACACACACACACACAGAGAGAGAGAGAGAGACTCATGCAGTATTCATGCAGATATTCTCTACTCTGTTGTCAATCTATTCACTTTCACTCTTATCTTGTTGCAGTTCTGCTCTGCTCCCACACTATGGAAAGGACATGTTGTTCTAGTAGAATGGTAATTCCAAATGCCTACATTACCCAGAATGCAACCAGAATAGCAACAACCCTGCAGGTAGAGGAAATGTTTACAAAAAAGATTGGATATGAAATGGGTTTTCCACTGTTGTCAGTAGCAAAGCCTAACACCTAGTAAGCTAATGTCCAAGGACCGTGTCATTTACTCTCATTGTGAGGTGGAGATCGTGCGTCAAATGGCCAACCAGGCTGTCATAGCAACAACTGTCTTTGCATTGATTAAACTGTAATATTTGTCTGATGTGTGAGGAAGGATGTCGTCCAGCCACTGTGTGTCGTATTGATCCAGCAGTCAATAAACGGTGGCCCGCGGCTCTTTCATTGACACGCACCGGCAGTGCTGCCTTCAGATGACACATTAATCCTGCGGTGGACGCGTTCCCTCACGCTCTTCACTCACATTAGACACTCCATGTTTATGTTCATGCACAACACAGCTGCTGGGAGGAGAACACTCTCAGGTAAACATGCTACTGCTTCACATACACGACACACTGCAGTGTCACTGTTGATATGACACAGCTGCTCCACTTCTTATTTACAGCAAGGATTCTGTAATCTGAGAATGTGTTCTTGGTCAGATATGTATTTTAAAAAAGTGAAAATATTACATTTTGTTGTGGCACTTGTTTTAGAGATTGCTTCTTTCTTTTAAAATAATAAATAATAAACTAATAATGTATTAAAGTTAGTCCTATACTCCAGCCTGTGGTGATATTTGAATTGAATTGTATTACATTTTAATAAGTGATGTGTTGATAATGATGAGTTGACCTGGTCAAGGCTCAGACTTAAACATACATTTTAAAAATGGCACTTTTTGGAACCTGGATCTAATCAGAACATCTCAGCGATGATGTCTGTTATTGGACAGTTCTCACATTTGGTGTGGGGACATGTCCTTATGTGTCCATTGCTGGGTTCTCTCTACCATTTCAGTAACTCAGGTTTGACTGTGTACTGTTTAAAAATGTGTCGAATTTCAAGTCAATTCTTGGAAATCCACAGCAATACCTTACAGTCTCCACCTGGTAAGATGTGTTTCCGTGATATCAATTACATTCTGAACTGACAACATACAGTAAAGGCTAAATATTCCTGTATAATAACTAAAGTCACAGGGTCCTCACATGGTGCAGGGTCATTTTTCTAACAACGTTCCGCCTGTACTCTGTGAGCTGTAATCCCACAATGGTAATATTTCAAATTAAATGGAGAAGAAGCCATTTATTAGTCTTCTGTCCACAGCTTCAGCTCCACTGGAGCAGACATTTAAAGTCACCCACTGCCTCAGGCTCAGTCACCATCAAAGATAACCCTGTGAAGCGCTTGTTATTTATTATATTAAACATTAATGACTCTGTCCTCCGTGTTGAATTTTAAATAATCACATAAATTAGTAAAGTTTTTGGGCTATTTACGTAGAAAATTGATGAAATTTATGACTAACATTTCAGATTGTTGACTTCCTCTCATATTTAAAAATGTGAAAATCCAGCTTCTGGCTGCTGTCACGTCTTGAAGGAGAACAATGCCAGCACAGAACAATGGGTGCAGTAATTGGGTAATTATGCTACAAAGAATTATGTGCAAGACGTTCTGTGCTCGGTGACGTACAGGGACCTGCATCAACTGTTGAATGAATAATAAGTGATTCACAGCAGGATAACTCTACAGGCCCTGTGTTCACAGTTGGTCTGTTTACTGAGCTGTAAACAGGCAAATAAAGGAATCCACAGACAGAGAAATCAATGTTGGTTCTGTTTCTAAAGACTATTTTCTACTTGGAAGTTTTGTAAGTGTTGGTGACAAATGTGTTGTCATTACATCATCAGCAAACAACAGCTAGTAAAAGGGGGAACTCCTTCTAATATGCGTGAGCAGGATTAACATAGTGATACAGAAATCCATCCCCAGTCTTTTACTAACAGTAATCAAATGATAAAGTGCACCTGCGAGAATTGTTCCATTCATCTTTTTATAGATGCCAAATAAAACCTCAGTTTGAAAAAAATCCTGTTGAACAGTACCTCTGTTACGCCTGAATTTACCCTCCAAATACACTTTTAAATTACAGTACATACTGTATTTTATTCATAGCCAATCACTGGCTCAGAAAAAGGCAGAAATTGTTACATTAAGCAGAACAGGGAAACAGGCAGGACCCTACCACAGCACTGAAGAGACTGAAGGGATACCACAGCAGACAGGGACACATGACAGGAGCACAACACATGAACCCAGAACAACAAACCTAAAAGACTGAGTGAGGGAGAGAGGTATATATACCCAGGCACCAGGTGACAGCAGTGAGACTGATTAACAGGTAATCACAGGACACAGGTGAGGCCGATGACACTGATTACACAGCAGAGGCAGACAGACCTCACAGAAATACTTTAAATAAGAAAATATGGCAAAAAACAGTGACGGTTGATGATGAAGGCCAAAATTAGCAAAATCATTATGTCAATAATAGCAAAACAATTTCATCTTAAGACATTTTGCTAAACCTTTTGCTTGTTAGTGATTGTCTGAACCGTAGACATTAAGGCCACTGGTTTTTAAAAGGATTTTTATGATAAAAAAAACACTTCAAACCAAAGTGATTCAGCAGGTTTGAAGATGTTGAAACAGCAGGAAAAATTCCATTTGACACCAAAAACCTGCAGGCTCAGGCAAACATTCAGCTTTTAACCTTTGACACAACTCTAGCCAAACACAGCATTGATGCCTCTGTGTTGAAACCAACCTGGTGGCCACTCCTGACACTAACTGGATGTTAACCCACAAAAGGTCACGTTAGTTAAGCTCAGAATTTATTAATTAACCAAAGACTACTAATTCCCTTTAGGACTAAACCCGTTTTTGTGTGACTTTAGCATAAGGGTTAGCTTTAACTTGAGCGCCGCTCCCTGCCAATTATAAAGTAATTCCCTAAATCTCACAATCTTCTCTTTTAAGGATAATACCCAGGTTGAATGTCATATCTTACATATGTGTCAGTAACTTAGTACGAACCAGTTATTACAACAAGGAAGTGACAGCAACACAGCTTCATTTGTTGGTTTGGCTGCAGCAGTGATTTCCACGTGTTGTGGAGCCGGTTTCTCCTCAGCAGATGACGGAACTGCGAGATAATTCATTCAAAAGTCTGAGGCAGTGACAGACCTTTTCCACAAATCATTCCAAGTTGCTGTGTCTGGTCTTAATTTAATAATTTTTAACACATGGCTTGTTTTAAGAGTTCCTTCTCTTTAGCAACTACAAAAACAGATGTGAAACAACTTACACTTTTCCTTTAGTAAATTGTTTAAAAATATCTGAAGCTTTTGGACTCCCAGGAGATTCTTCTGACTAAATATGTCTTTTAGAAGACGAGGCAGATGGAGGAAGGGAAATGTTTTTTTTATATTACTATTATTTGTTTGTTTGGTCTTTTATTCAAAATAAAGCTGTTCCTCGCTGCAGATTAGATCAAATATGTTTCGTCTTCTCTGGGTGCCTGTTCTTAAAATTGGAAAAAATGATCTAAGGATTTTCCAGTAACCACCACACCATCTGTCATTGTTTATTGTTTAAAACTTCAACTTAACTGTGACAACTAAAGGTTATTTTTCCTCACTTTCATTTTCCATTACTGTCTGAGTATTTTAAATGAAGTTTTTAGGCGTCAGCTACATTGTACAAAGTCTCCAGTCATTTTCTTTTTCAAATACCCTGACACAAACAAATGTGGGCAGCTGTGGCTAAGAAGAAGAAGAAGAAGAAGACTACTATATCCCCTATATCCTCTACATTTCAGTGATCAGTTTCAGTAGCAGAGTTTGACATCCCAAAGGCTGCATTCAAACCTGTCATTATCTGATAACATGCCCGATCTTCTCTCCAACTCTAGAGGCTGCCTGTACGACTGAGTCAATATTATATCTTCTTGGAAGAGTTAAAATTCATTCTAAATAATATGACAATTTGGGAATTTTCACACACAGTATCCATAACTATGAATCAAATACAGGCCAATACAAGATTCTGTAGATCCACCTACTGTTGAAATAATGTAAAAAAACATGGAACTGATAAAACACAGGGTGGTAATAGTTCTATGGATCAGATGTCTTTGAACCAGACATAGAGAATTCATGATCTTAGATGCAGTATTCCATTATGTATTGCATACACAGAATTGTATTGATTATATTTGTTGATTGATATACGGTATGATATTGATCGAATCATATCATACCATAGAATTGTCAACCAAGAAATACTTAATAAATGGAAAAGAACATGTGTTGCTTTTAAGCAAGACACAACACAACACAACAAAACATAATATAACATACAATAACATAACATAACATGCAGTAACATTTTAAAACTAGTTGATGTTTCAAAGTAACTATACTAAGATGCAGACAAATCTCTTACATTCCTCCGTTTGCTGCAGAAAAACTTTTGAACAAGTGTCAAACAGCCTTAACTCACCCAAGATGTTGCGTTTGTTTTCCTCCCTCAGCTTGACTTGACTTGTAACACATTTTAACCTGCGCAGTGCGCTCCACGCTGGGTCAGAAGTGACTCAACAGCCCATGATTTTGCCTGTGGCAACACTGTCAGCACAGACCTTCTCTCTCTCTCTCCACCTCTCGTTCAGTCTGCCTGCCTCTCTCACCCTCCCTCACTCTTTCTCTCTGTAGCTCAGGAATGTGAAATAGTGTTCCTTTTGCTTTTGCTTGCCAGAAGCTGAACACTGCATTTAAATCAGACTGCACTATGGGAAACAACTTAAAGCTACAGTCCTAACAGAGAGGCAGCCTCAAGGAATCATTGTCTTTATCACATCCAACCACATTTCCTTGTTTGTCTATAGAAAGTGTGAGTTTCATTCCTGTTGGCCAATACTCAGACAAGGAAGTAAAATCTGACAGTCAGGACCTTTGATGCCGAGAATCTTTCTTGTGTGTCATGGATAGCTGTGTGACTGGCTGTATGAGATTATGAACTGTCTCACTGTGACAGCTGATTGTCCTCCTAGGTCTCCTTTGTCTTTGTTTGTCCCCGCTCTGATGTGTCCAACAGGCCTCGTCATTCATTACCATAACTGCAGTATAGCATGTAGTAGATATGTTCAAACTTGACAAGAGAAGAGAGAAGTGTAATATTTGATCATTGACCTCCATCTTACCTGTCCTGCCAAAACCTTGCAGCATTGCAATGAACTTTGAACAAAGCCTGGAAAAGGCTCTGTGACTGTCTGGAGCTGCATTCCTTCAGTGAGGATATGTTTTTTCCAACATTAATGTTAGCATTTTCTTCAGCTGTTTCTCATTCAATACTATTGAGGAAACTATTGAACCCCTAAAGAACGAGCCCATCTGTAATTCCAACACAGCTCAGATGTCATTGTCCTTGTGTTTAAAGGGATCCCTGGACAGGAAGTGGGGCAGGAAGCAACCAACCCTTAAATGGAGAAGAGGCTGAAGTCTTAGACACACCACTGAGCTTATCTCTGGCAGAACATTTGAGGTTTGTTCCTCTAATTCACTGCCCACATGTTCAGAGCTATTATCTAATGTTTTCATGTTTCACTTTTGGTGTCTGTCCAGTTTCCCTGGACAGGACGTCTTCTGATGATGGTGATCCCACCTGTCAGCCCTCGAGTGTTTTACTAAATGCAGTTTTTGCTGCAAAGAAACATTCAGCGTTTGTGATCTCAGTGTCTTTGGGTTTTAACATATCTAGCATAGCGTAACTTAGCACAGCTTTCACGCAAGATTAGCGTAGCTGCTTATTGTATGTGTGTGAGAGAGAGACCATTTAGTAAAAACAAAACTTGTGCAATAACCTGTTTTTTTTTCTTTTCTGCTGTTGACAGGACCTGTTTATGCAGACTTTTACACTGATGGTTATTTTAGAGAATTGACCAGCAGTAGATCATTTCCAAGAGCAGAGATAACGCTCAGCCTCCACAGTATCCTTTAATAACACACAGAACTAAATCAAATCTTCATGTTTGTATCATCATGGCCTCCTGACAACACTGTTACTGAGCTGTTAAGTTTTCTGCTGGTGTTGGCTCTTAAGTTCATCTGTGTGTGTTCAACGGAGGTGACTGACGTGTGGTGAGTTGAAGTAGACAGTCCTCGTTCGTCTGTGTGTGAAGAAAAGTCATTCAAATCCTAGGGTTTTTATTTAATATCTATGTTAGACAGAAAAACAGTAACAGGTTTGAGATGTTGGAAAACAGAACCATGTTACACTCTAAAGAACTCTATTCATTATTAAGGAAATCCAGGAATTGTTTGTCCTGTGCACCTTGTTGATTGGCCATACACTGCACCACAGTCTAGCTAGTTTTCTAATTCAAAGGTGAAGCTGTGTGAACATTCCAGAAGCTGTGTGTTGGCACTTCCTGTTTTCAAGGTGGCTTCACTCTGCGAGAAATACCTGCGACTGGAAAGAGCTCTCATTTTTTGGTGATAGTCTGTAGCTGAGCTGTAAAAGCTCGGCCGTGTTATTTGTATTTGCACTAACTTCTCTTCACATGTCTCTCCTCTTCAGAAAGCACTTTATCAGCCTGTTTATTATTGACTTTCTGTTTTACTACATCCAGCTACAAACGGTAACTTTAGAACAGAAGACCATCTGAGGCACTTTCGTTTTCCTGGTCTACTGTCAGACATTATTTCTCCTATTGTTAAGTACAGTGGTGTCAAACATACGGCCTGCGAGCCAAAATCGGCCCGCTAGGGTGTTTAATCTGGCCCGCTTGATATATTATGAAAATAAATGAGAAAACACAAATACTACTAATAATAAATATCTAATAAACTGAAAACAAAGGAGAAAAACATGGACTAATTGTTATTTATGTTATTGTTAATTATGATTGTACTGGTCTGGCCCACTTCCAACAACATCCGATTAGGTTGTATGCGGCCCATGAACCAAAATGAGTTTGACACCACTGGTCTAATATGTGAATGTTTCATTAACTATGAATTAACATCATTACATCATATTAGCCAACTTATCATACATTCACATTTGTATATTTTCTATTAACATGTCTTTTGTTAGTATTGGCTACAATGAATGGCCACATGGTTAGCAGTAAAGATCCAACGGCCTGGGGTGCTAGTTGTGAAATAGTTGCGCTAACAGTGTGAATTTTTAAATTCCGACCCTACTCTATAGTCAGTGTCTAAATTTAGAGTCTGCAGTCAATCCGAGGACAACTGCCAGGATATGCAGTAATTATGTCACAAGTATTGCACTATTAAATGTAACTTTTTTTTTACCACTCCACTGCGGCAGTCCTCCGTTGAATCCTGGGACTGTCATGTGGCACTATATGTAGACGATGGCTTTGTTTACATTCGCACATTGCCATGTGATGGATTGTGCTAGATTGGCTTTCTTTCATTAGAGTTGCATAAGTCAGACTCCTCTGATGTTTTTATGTCCAAGATCACGATGTCACCACTGTGTTAATGTAGGTTAGTGACACAGGTACTTGTGTACAGTATGTGAGTTTCACCTTACAACCTAGTTTCAACAAAATCGAGTTACATGACATTTATGTGTAAAGGGTTACTGTTACTATGCTGATCGTGTTCTTTGCTTACCGTCAATAATCAGGATTAAAGTTTGACCTTTTCAACAGTAGAACTTTAAGCTCTGCTGCTTGAGATGATGAGGTGAAGCATTGCTGTAGTCTGTCCCAGTTCTTCTAAAAGCTCATCATTTTTCAGCACTAAATATAATACCTTTTAAATGGAGTGTGTCCTCAGGTTGTTACTCCAAACTGTCAGCTTGATCAGACTCCTAATGCCCTCTTTTGGAGCACCTGGCTGTAATCCTTGTTTGAGTGTGTGCGCGTGTGTGTGTGCGTGCGTTAGAGAGAGATTGATTCAGGTGCTGGTGGAAGGCAGATGTGAGTGATTGTGACTCCACAATCTGACGTTGTCTTCTTCTTCTCACCACATGTAGAAAACAACAAAGCTCCTTCTGTTTTTTGTCAGTGTTTCCTTACATTCCAACACCAGCAAACAAGATTTAGACGTAAAGACCAAACCTTCAGAAAGCAGCCAAATTGTAGCTTAGCTGCTCATATATATATATAGATAGAACGATCGATCTTTATTAATCCCTCTCTCTTCTAGTTCTCTTCTCGAAATTTAGGTTTTGGTTTTGTTTTGGCTATGGAGAATTTCTCCTCTGTTCCTTACAGTTACAGTAGTTACTGTAGCCTGTTGCCATGGCGCTGTCCCCAAACACCAAAACAGGCCGTGGTGTAACACACACTGATTTAATGACCTGCTGGTTTTCCTGTCCACTATCACTGATTACTGGTGCAGGCTGTGCACAGACCAGAGTTTTGGTCTTTTGTGGACTTTGTTCCTTTTTTTACAAAGAATGGATTTGTTCCCACATCACTGGTTTCTAGACTCTAACCAGCAGGCGGGGCTGTGACCTGAGTACAACACTGTTTTCAATTGTTTTATTTTTCAATAGCTTCAAGGTAAAATTCCACCCAGTGTTATTATTTGACAAGCGTTCATATCCTGACCCAGAATGTCGGACATTTTTAGTCCTGATTCTTCTGACAAATCAGTTACTTTTCCAATGTAACCACGGACTACAGACTGGATCTGTGATGTATTTCTTCTGTCTCCTCTGCACTATAACCACAGCTCCCATAAAGCAGTGCATTTGAATGAAGACACCGTGTCATTTCTTCTGGTCTTTTGTATATTTTATTCGTTTTCACCGCACATGTTCAGGGAAACACATGTCAATATGGATTTGTTACATGAATATCTATTGTACTATAGATATCTGTTATTTAAAAATACATGTGATGAGATGACAATTCAACTGGTAATGGCAACGTTATATAAATTTCTTCTTTCCATTCATTTAAATAATAATCATAATAGAGTTTGGCGTGTTACACATTTCGAAAACATATTGAGACACAGATTTGTGGGGACACATCATGTACAGAACTTGACACCCCAGAGTAAACAGCGCAAACAGGGACCCGCTTCACACCACGCCGGCTCATTTTAAAGCAGACAGATAGATCCCCTGGGGGCAAATCAAGGGCTTCCTTTGAAGTAGATAAGCCTTTATCACACTCGCCAAAGACGGCGGAAGTGGCAGAGCAATAACTGATTTGGGAAAAGCAGCTGTACTGAATTGGCATCAAAGCAAGGGCTTGAACAAAGAGAAAAATAAGCATTGAAATTACAGTTCAAATGACTAGTATTTTATCAGGACATTAGAGCAGAGGCCTGTTGAGTCGATGAATACGGGTCAACTTTTCTGAGAAGCACAGAGAATACCGTGAAGAGAATACTGACAGCTCTGCACAGCGGCGTCTCACTGAAGGAGGTTTGGTAAATAAAAGATCATGTTTTCAGGTTTACGCTGTTGTCTTCATGCAGTAGCTGGAAAATGGCTCCAGTCACTGCAGATAAATATCTTGTTAATCTGTATGTATTGACATTTCTATGTATTTCTTCTCACATTTGGATTAATGCACCTAATGTAGCAATAATTTACAATCAGGAAGAAATAGTCATCTCGTGTTTTTTTAAACTGAGAAGTTGGACTGTTGTAAAATATACTTCTTCGTTATTGGATAAAATATAACCACAATATTCACTGCAACACGTCATCAGAAAGTCAATGACATTAAGACAAACTTCAGGCTATTATGTGCCATTATCAATTTGTTTGGCATGTGACCTAAACTGGCCTTCACGTGCTCCGAATGCACCTTTGAACTTGTGTTAACCATTAGTTGTTTACTGTTTGGAATATTTAAGCCAACGTTGACACAGATGAGTCCTGGCAGACCAGCGTTAGGGCTAAGGGTTGAAGACGGAAACAAGGCGTTAAGGCTTCTTTGCTATCGGGCGTTTTTGATCACAGCTTTCAAAGTTATATGACAAAAACACACAGCACATACAGTTACAGAATCAAGGAGTTCACACAGAAAATATGTCTGGGAGAAAACATCTGCACGCCTTGAGTTAGTTTCCTGTTTAAAGTCTCTGGTACAGTGAAGCTCAGTCACAGCCTCCAATAAATGTTTCCCAGCTTAGGGCTGGTGGCTGGTGGTATCCTCCCCCCGCTCTCCCCCACCCTGGTGGTGACACAGAGACACACAGACGATTAATATGCGTGTTAGACCTGCAGCAGATTTGTGTGGGTGTTAGGAGATAGTGAAGGGCTCGGCACACAAAATGGCTCAATTCGATTTTTTTTTTCTGTTGTTTTTTTAGCCTGCATCAGTGCGCTGCAGAAAGCAAGCAGACCCCTGACCCCCCTGGAGCAGAAGCACCACAAAACAGAGCAGGGTGATTGTACCGCTGCCACAGTCCTCAGAGAGTTTCCACACACTACATCCACACCTGATGGAGTCGAAAAACAATCTCTAATATTTTGTTCGTGATGATGAAACTACATGGACTAATTAGATACTAATGACATTTCTGCCACAGTGGAAGGCCTGGTGGGGTGAGATGATTGGTACACTACTGAATGATAATTTAACCAAAGCTCTGGAGGAACATGCTAACCCGCTGCATAATTCATCACTGCACAGGCCTGTTCTGTCACTCGGCTCTTTAGCATTGATGGGCAAAGATTTTTTTTTTATGGACATTCTATTCCTGTGCATTCACAGCTTTAAAGCAGGGTATGTCCAAATTTGACACCACTTTGGCTATAACTATGGAATGACGTTTGAGCCATTTTTCACTTGCACATTTATAACAGCACAGCCTTCCTTTCCATCTAACCAGACCAGAAACAGCAGCAAAAACATCTGCAGGACTGTAACCCCTTGTCTCCACCCAGTCATGTAAATCTTGAGCATGTTAAATGTTAATTCAATTTTTTTTAAGAAAATGAGTGACTTAGTTACAGTGTCATTCACACATGATTCTCAATTTGTATTTTTATTGGACAATAACTGTTCCACGAGGTCACAGGCTTGGATTTATGTTTTATATCATTTTGTAATACCAACTTTCTAATATCTGCACGCTCTGTGTTTTATAACCACATAAACCCAATTCAGATTCCACCTTTAATTTCACATCCCTTCCACTGGACTCATCACAGAGATGACGTGATTTATCTGCCCAAAGCGTGTGACATCAAATTTGTATCTCTTCGTATTCTTGCTTCAACTTTATATTTAATCCTATCACCTGAAAAAAAAGAAAAAGAAAAAGCAAAACTGTGCTACACAGTCTGTGAATGTACCATAAATCTGTTTTACTGTTTCAGAGGCGATGCTAAAAAATGACAGTGCTGCAGGTGTAATATCTGTGGTCTGTCCCTCCATTCTCTGGCCTGTTTGTGGTTGCTGCTGCACATCAGTGAAGTGTCTTGTTGTTTTTGTTTCACAGCATAAAGGTAACAACTATAAAGGAAAAAATAAACAGCTTTCATTGTTCACTGATGTCCCTGGGGAACGAGGCGAAGCGGTCCGAACGTACGAAAACACATTCTAACTATAACGTTTTCAAGGATTAAACAAACCATCAAGACTATTTCTCACACACAGAGGCAGCAGTGGTAGAAATTAGCATCTGCAGAGCAATAAAATACAGAACAAACTTCACAGATCATCTAATTACAAGCCTTTTTTTTTCTTCCCACCGCAATTAAGGAATTGCAACTTATGAGAGTGTGGATGCGCTACAGCGCATCACCTTGTTCACGTCTTTATACATCGTCAGAAAAACAAACAAACAAAAAAAAAAAACATTATCACTGATTTGATTTTCACTGTTTACCAAATCAAGGAGTTTTCCCTTTCAGACACTCGGGATGTTGAAATCACAATTTGAAAATTACAATACAGCTACTCATTGCTTTTCAAAGGTGAGTAGATACTGTCAGAGGAAATAAAAGATTAAGATATTTTGAATCAGACTGTGTGTCACCACTGAAAATGGTGAAAACTCTTTTACCAAAGCTGCAATAATTCCTCCAAATTTTAATCAATGCCAAAATAATACTGGAGCTGAAGGCTGTGACTTCATAGCAGCAATGACCATGTAGCAGGCTGCTAAGCTAAAAACCAAAACCAAGTATAAAAATGTCAGCTGTGAAAAGGTGTTTTTTTGTCTTCCATCTGGATACTATTAGAAAGTGATGACAGTACTGCAGCTGTGCATCATCATCAAGGATGGGACGGATCATATGATAAGCACGAGTGCAGCTGGTCTTACATTCTGGTCACAGATGACCATCAGTGGACACTAATATGTTTTGTTTTTTTCTCAAAGTGAACTGAGATAGATCTTTTTTCTACGGGTCAGTGATAAAATATTTGGTTGAGGGGTGAATGTAGGGGTTGGGCAGATGATAAATAAGCAACTTAAACGGCAAGCTTGTCCCTGCTCATAACCCTGACCTCTCTACACCAGACCAAATGTGTGTAAAGTGAATCTTTCTGTCAAACTGCTGTTAGTAACGTGTAATACAGTTGCTGTCAGCTTGAAAGTGCAATCCTTTTCTTTATGTGTCTTTGTGTTGTTCCCGCAGCACCAGTGATCCCAGTATCTTGCACTTGAGAATCAAAATATCACATTTCCATGACAAATAAAAATAAACATTCTCCGGTGTGTGAATGATTCCGAGTCTAAGGAACTGTTGCTGCTGGTCAAATCCTTTCAGTGCAAGAGTTAAGAGCTGATCTCGAAAAGCAAAGAGCAGCAAGAGCAAAACCCAACAATGGACAAAGCCGTGAACAAGGTGTCAACAACGACGTCCTGAACCATCTGTTAAAAATATGCATTAAACTGCCTCACCTGAGGAGGAGTTACTGAGACACAGTGATGTTCAAGAAGGAGCCTCTCGCCCGTCCGCCTACTTCCTGTCACAGAGGCGACACTTCCTCCCAGTGATGTTTTTCGGACTCAGCTGCACTAATTTTAGCGCCAAGTGCGTCAGAGTCTGCAGTTTTTTCTGCCTCCACTGCAAAAAATTGTGCTTAGGAGTTTATGTCCCAGATGTGTTTTTAAGGCTTCTTTTAAATATCAATACCAGACGTTTTACTAAGTACGAATGAGATATATCAATTAAGATTTTTTTAACGAGGATAGTGAGATGAATGAATGGTATTATATTCACAAATAAGCACAGTCAAGTCAATCTCAAAATAAGTACAGAAATGGTAGAAACAATTGGCCTGGTATTGGCGGTTTTACATTTTAGCCCAACTCATAGGATATGTTTCTTTTTGAGTTAGAGAGGAGAGGTTTGCAAAGCACCTATAGTATGGTTTAAATCACGTCAACTGACATGAGTCGTCAGACAATAACTATCTAGTTTTCAAAGAAAATAAAGTTTGGATCTTGGTGTGCAGCTTTGGCTACAGTTTTACTCTGTCCTAGTGGCTAAAAATACAGAATTTGTTCCTTTACTCACAGGAGTCTACCTTAAAAATTGAAACAATTGATTTGAGACCATAAAATCCAATTGTGTAATTCAATGCTCTGCGAACCTAACCTCAAAACGGTGGCTCCATTCCTCTCCTGTCACTGAGAGCCAGCAAGGATGAGGGGTTAGCATTAGCCTTAGCTGCAGTTAATGGAGCCAGAGAGTGGCCATAGCCAACAGCAGTGACGGCCCAAGGGTGGAGGCCAGGGAGGCGGCCAGGAGCCTGCCATCGTTGAGCAGCCTGAAGGAAATGACCTCCACCTTGAACCCATCCTCAGTGGCCATGCACCGAAAGACGCCCTCCTTCAGGGGCGTGTCCATGAGTGGCCCCAGCACGCAGAAGTCCCCAGAGAAGAGACAGGGATAGTTCTTAATGCAGTTGTCCTTCTCCCAACGGTAGGTGGCGTGGAAGGAGCGCACGGGGCAAGGGAGAAAGATGGAGGTGTTATAGGGCACCACCACCTCTTTGGGTGAGGTTCGACGCTGCTTCAGGGCTGCAAGAAATTATTTTAACACAGCATTATCTACAGAAATCACTGACTTCATTGCTCTTTGTGCAGCTCCAGTGGTAAGTTGATAGAAATTGAACAATGATTTTTCTTTCTGCCCAGACCATGAGTCTAAATCGTTTAGATCCTTTTCAGGGTGAGACTTTAAAGGAGGTAATGACCTCGGGGCCTTTGGCTCGCTGAAATCCCTAAATTCATTATGTTTCAGTTTGTTTACAGCTAATTCATTAAATTCCAATTTTATTTGGGGCCAGTGCTTGGTATTGAAGCACAAAATGAAAAGATGAACGCTTGCTTTAACCTGCCAAGCTGCCAGTAAAAACCCCTGGGGTCATTTTTGGCCCTGGGCCCAGGATATTTCACTGAAGCGTGACCTTTCTGTTCAAAAGCCCTATGTTGAACCTAATTTAACCTCACTAAGACAATGCTGTTCTCTTTGGGAATGAGGGGAGGATATATATTGGATATTATATATACTGTATTTGATATTTTTAGATATATTCCAGTGTTAATTGTGCTTTTGATCCCAACAAGCACCAACAAACTCCTCCTGGCACATCAGTGATCTGTGGGAACTCAGCTACAGTCAAGCCAGTCACATAGACATTATTAAGCTACAAGCAGCACAATTTTCCAAATATGAATTTTTTCTTTTCAACATACTAACAGGAGATTACCTTACTTGCTTGCTAACAGCAAAACAACAAAGTACCACAGTCTTCTTTTATTGGAGCTTCAACATCATCAAAATGTTTCATCTAAACTTCTTCACAACCAAATACAGAATTAAACACTGAGAAAGGAGTTGTATTTTTATCATTAAATTGAATGTGGCGGCATTTCATTCACTTAGACTGTAATCTCTCAAACTAATCCAAATCCAGATTATCATACAGTGTATATCTGGAATCGTTGCCCAGGTGTAAACAAGTAAAATCAAATAAAAAGTAAAGAACTTGCTAAACCTCAAACAAACCATTTTATTTCCTAACTAAAGCAGTAAACTGCATGTCCAGAGATTCATGACCACAGCCTGTGGTCAGACTCAGTGATTACAGCTGTGGTTCATCCCAACAGTGAACAAAATAACAGCTAATTAGCAGGGAAAAAAATCCTGATTCTCTAGGAAGAATATCTAACAGGCTGCACTTGTTGATTTACGCTCAGTGTCTGACCAGAACAAGAGTTATGTGTATAATACATTTTTAACACAGCCGTTACTGCAGTGTGCTGGACTGCACCAACAGGGAGCGTCGGCTCGTTGCACCGACCGGACTAAACATGCAGCTTGACACAAGCATTCAGCCGGAATCCAGAGAAAATTTTCACAGGAGCGTAACTGGCATGAAGTCCAGCAGCAGATGGTGTGGCCTCCACTGAGGGCTGACCTCAGCATCATGGAGTCACTGTGGAATTCCACAGTGAGACAGACAATGTAGAGACTGAATTAAATGTGACGGCTCTTATTGGCTGCTGATACAGCAGAGAACGCACCAGCTTCATTTAACAACGTCCTGAAGCATTGTTTGGGGATCAGACTTTTTTTTAATATAGTCAGCAGGGTTTACATATGAGAGTGTCTAAAATGACTCTAGTCAAAAACTGAAATGTCTGGAGTTTGTGAATCAGACAATAGAAGAACACAACAGGAGAAGCACCCCAATAAAATAAAACCTCCACTGCTTTTCTATTGTAATTTGTACTACAAGACTAACAAGAAAAAGCATCTTGATCATTACGATTTCTTTTGCTGTTATCAAGTAAGTTGACGGTTCATTTAAGTGAAGAAATATTTAAG